GTGAACTGAGGGAGGCCTTCCTCAATAAGAGATCAGAGATAGCTAATGAAGATAGTGATGACAAAGAGACACATGTGCTAACACCAGGAAGCTTCTAGAATCATCCGTACCCTTTGCTAAAATAAACAAAAAAAGATACATGCACTCCAACTAAGAATTCATCCAGGCCAGTGAACCCAAATGGGATAATAGAGCAAGAAATAGCTTAAGCATCAAAGATATATCACATATTCCATAAAACACATTGATGAAATGAATCATTTTAAATTCTTAATACTTGCTTAATCATTGTCCATTATTGTAATCCTACTCCAACAACAAGACTTTCCTAAAATGGACCACATTCACCTCCACAAGTCAATGAAGTATTGGAGTATTTTGCTAGAATTTAATTATATCTGTTACAGTGACATTGAATTGAGTTTGCAGACTTCTTCCTTCTATTATGAGGCAGCTGTAGGACAGCATGATAGTGACAACTGGCAATCACTAACTGCTGCACATGATGTCATGACAACAGTCAACATCCATGGAAACAGGCATGGTTTTTGCATATGAATTGGAAACTTCATGGAAAGCTCATTTCTTGCAACAACATATTTCCAGGCAGATGTGTCAGTTGTTACCTTGTTGCCTAGGAAATGTTGGGTCTGATCTGTGAATGACTCATAATCTCAGCCCTCATTCTGGAAGTCCTATGGCTTGAAATGAGCATTCTGCAAAATCTATTGCATTTGTGAATAAAAACCACACCTACCAGAGAATGCATCAAAGCATATGGTCCTATGAATGGGAAATTTGATTTTGTTTCCAGCCTCATACATGATAGCATAAGCAGTACAGCATGCAAACTCAATCCAATCATATACCTGAATAATTCCTTTTTGAGGTGAATTGGCTAAGGCTTTTTGATCTCCATAGGCAGGTTGAAGGACTATGTCTAAACTCGGTGAGTCAAGCGCCAGACTTTTGCCTTACTTCATATACCCTTGACAACTGAGCACGCCATGCAGTGTCATTGGTATAGGGGTTCCAATAAAAGCCTACGCCTAACGTTAGGCCTATGTATGCACGTAGGATTGGATTACCTTAAAAGAAGCGTGGGGATGTTAGTTACGCCCGCTCAAAATGCTGCATGCACAATACGTGCACAGAGATAAACTTTAGTTTCCCAAGATTCTGACCACTCATTCCAAATAGGCCTATTACAGGCCTTGGCTATGCCTTCCGCTCAGAAAACACAAAAGCACCCCTGAACCTTTTCGATTCGCACAAAAAATGAGTTCTGACTACGGGAACTTCGTCGCTTTGCGTGGTGAAAAGCGATTCCCACTTTTGCAAATTAGGCCCGATGAACTCCTGTAACTGCAGTCACAGCGGCAGTGCGGTTCTCACAAATGGTTTTTTTCAACGAAAGGGGCGAACGGACGTGACGTAAATTACGAAATGAACCAATGAGAATGTTCCTTCAGATAAGTCTAGGTACAACCACGTGGATGTCGCATGTCGTTTCACCGAGCTGTTGTCCTTCGCACAAGTGACACAAGAAAATCCAGACCTTCACTAGTGCTACTCCACTGCATTCAACTTCTTTCTTTAGGAGCAGTTGATAGAAGTTTTCAGCCGAGGAGTAATAGAATCCCTGTTGTAACTGGTTTCTCCCAAGGCTTGACCCTCATCTTCATGAGCTGTGGCGCAACCATAACCAGGGGTTAGAGGGTTCAGATCCCCATCCCATCTGTTCAAGATAGCATTGCTTTACTCCCCCATATCCCCCTCTCCTACGGCGGTGGGGGGGGACGCTGGGAGATATTATAATGAGGAATCGACCAAGTTCAGAGAGGCTAGAAAGCAACAAAGATGAAGAGTTGAAGGTGAAGATTACGCCAGTCACATGTGACTACTCTCTTGAGTAAAGTGAAGATGTAATGGAAGCGCGTCCTGCACATGTGACGCTCTTGAATGAGAGGAACGGAAGGAGGACGGCTCGGATGTAGGGCGTGAAGCACGTACAAGTTAACGAATTATCAGTTGCATACTATGCAGTGAAATCTTGGCTGGGTCTCGAAATAAATTTAGTTTTTCTTCAGCTTTCCCTGTTTCCGGATTTCGAATGTGATTCAACACTTTAAATTCCGTTTTCCCTGTTCATAAAACTTTACTTCATTTAATTTCTAAGAATTTGACATGCAGTTACCGTTTTCTCAGGACACGAACTAGGCCTGTTTATGAAAGCCGATAAAATATTATGCACGAGACTAAGCTATTATAAGTTACGCCTACTTGGTGAGGGTGCACTTCGATATTTCTGCGGGGACCTATATTTCACTTTCTCATTTCAAAAGGTAATAATTTCCAAAATACAAAAATCAGTTGTGGGACAGGATTCAAGCTGGTTTCGCACGACTGCAAGCAAAATTCAGGTATTAAATGTGTACTATTCTGTCACAATCTCAATTCTGCACAAAAATGGAAAAGCGTGGTGTTACTTTGACCAGGTAAGGGCAAAAGACCAACCCCGACTTGGCCCAGTTACAACTTCAATGGAGGAGGGGGGGGGGGGGGGGGGGGGGGGGAGGAGCAATTCAGACTCAATCACGAGAAGAATGATTGTTCATCATTTCGCAGTCATCCANGGGGGGGGGGGGGGGGGGGGGGGGGGGGGGGCGATTGGGGCAATCTGCCCCGGGCCCCACAAATCAAGGGGAGCCTCCATAGGGCCTCAAGGAGGCCCCCAAGGGATCTCCAGTTTAGTTTTGCCCTGGAAACCTCTGGGTGGCCCTGCGCAGTGGCCAAAATGGTCATGGACAGTTCGCTGCGGATAAGCCCTCGTTCTACTTTCTCGAAGCAGACACTGATAGTCGCACCAACAGGGCGAAGCACGTGCTTCCTGACAATGGTGGAAGGAAGGTGGGGAAAATGCGTAGGAAGGAATGGGGAACCTGAAATCCTGAAGGCGATCAAAAGGTAATGGGAAGAGTGGGAATTTCCCTGACAGCAAGGACAGCCTTAAGCATGTGGCACATGTGCCCTCGCACAGGGCGCAAATTCACCAGGGGTGCCAAACCGTGCCAGAATGGATGAAGCAATAATGGATGCCACCCTCAGTTTTACCCCAGAAAGTGGAAATGCCTTCCGCTTCAGCGACTTTTTCTCCCTTTTAAGGGAGGGAGGGGGGATCGTTGGGAGTCTCATATGTAACAGGTTCATATGCTCCAAAGTTTACTCCTTTGCTTTAAAGTGCATGAATTACAAAATGCTTAGTCTTTTAACCCTTTTCATGCATATTTTATATTTTATGCACGAAGTTTTGGTTTTGGTGATATGTATTTATTGTTTAATGGGAATAAAATCCATTGGGAAACTACAGTTGAAATTTTGCTGTCAAAGGATGTGAGGCACAGTTGGACTATAGTCAAATGTAGTGGCAAAAGGGTTAAGCACTAAAAGGTCTTGATACATCTATATAACAAGGGCCAGTATTTCCTACCCAATATATTGTTAATTATTAATATTTCCAAAAAACTATAATAATTTTTAAGAGTTCAAATAAGACTTAAGGAATTAAGGATAAGTGATGCAATACACTTTCCTTTCAATTTATCTGTTCACTCTAGTGGCTAAGATGCATTCCATCAGCCTTCTTTTGTGGCTTCCCTTGTTTCTCCCAGATGAATTGAGCCAATGGAATTGTCAGCTAGATGCAATTGCTTTCAATGCACAGGCTTTTTTGTCTTCCATCTATCTTGAGTAGTTGCTAAGATATATGGTTGCTCAAAGAACACTCCATACAAGTACACACCAAGTGATCGAGCCAGGTGTTGTACAATAGACTAATATGCCTGTGGTGATCAGAGATGGGCAAAAAAGTGCATACCAGTATGTGTATTGATGAGGATGGCTAAAGGCCAACTTGCTCAGCTGAGAAAGCTCCTACAATGCCTACCTTGTGAAATATTCCATTAAATAAAAAAGGAATGAGCTTCTGCTAGCTTCTCCAGTGGATATAGCCCTTTGGTTTCCTGTTCATTGTTTGAAATCCTGTGCCATAATCACAGCAAATTTTACATCCTTGTAAAGCTCCCTTCGTTTCTGCTGATTCTGTGTACAATAAATGACTCTTGCAGGAGTTTTGTCAGGGCAATCAAGGGAAGATGGAAGGGTCTATCCCATCTGATGCTACTCGACCACTAACACTTTTTTTGGAATGGTGTATTGAGCAGTCCTCACAATAGTTCTACCATAGCTACATTATTACATTTTCATTCCTGGAATGAATCATTGCACTAAGTTTTCACAGATTTTCATCAGGTATGTGAAAATAGATATCATGTGTAGGGAAATTAGAATGGGTTTACGACCTGCAGTGAATTATTATGTGAGGGTGCTGAGAGGTGTTACTTATTTCAAATTTTAATGGTGGGATCAAAATCCACTAGACAGTGGTGTTGGTGTTGCTGGTTTGATTCCTTGCACAGCCTACCTCTGACTTCAGTTCCCTTGTCCTGTCAGTACAGGATCCCAAAATAAGAAGCATCTCTCAGCACCCACACAAAATAGATATAATACAGTCCTGGCCTTCGCCAGGACTTTAACCCTTTCTATACCAAATTATTCTGTCATTTTTCTAATTTCTTCTTGCATTCATAACACTACCCTATTTGCCAACCAGCTTCTAATTTCAGAATAAAAAAAAAATGAAAATATAAGCTGTAATGAAACAACTAATTTGTTGCCACAGTTATATTTGCATGACAAAATTTGGGCAGATACCTTGCTTCTGAACAAGCACCTCATGAATGAATTTATGGGCAAAATAAGTCTAAAAACATTAAGAACTGTGTTCAGCCCCCATGCTCAATAGGGCATATGATGGATGAAAGGGGTAAATGCAATGTGCAATCAGCAGAGGGGTAATAGTTTTGCTAAGCAGGCACCAGAGTGATGAAGAGTCATTCTAATTGAAATGCAAATTCTTCATCTAAGAAACAGTTTTTGGAAACTAGTGTGAGATTTTCCATAAAATTATTTATTACTATAATAACAATTTTTGTTGCTTATTATATCTGAGTGTTATCAACACTCAATATCAGAAGCAAATTATCTTCTCAGAGGCTTATGCCAACTTGAAAGACTCCTTGAAGAGAACATAAAGGCAGGCAGCAATAAATAAAGGCATCTTTCATCAATATCACCACAGATAATAAATGAACATGAAGTGTGTAACATACTGTAGCCCTCATTCCTACGGGCACTGCAGGATGAGGGGTAAGGAAAGTACTGAATGTAAAGAGACAAAAAGGGGGACTCTAAAGAGATGATATGCAGCACATTTTAGTCAGTGATGGTGAGTTGTGCAAATCCCACCAAAGCTTTGTCATCAGGCATCTCATTCACTGCACAACCTGAGCTCTGCAAAAGACAAGGTGTAATTAAAGGAACCACTCAAGCAGTGCATTCCATGAAGTTAGAGTTTCTTCTTTTGAAAAAGACTGACCAATGCAAAAGTAAGGGTCTTGGCATTAGTGCGAGAGTCAATGAGCTTTTGAAGGTTTGCAGCTACTGCCACCATGTCCCTGCCATCTACCAGGCCAGCTCCAACCAGTTCAGATGCAATCCCATCTGCACTGTCCATTCCTGGTTGAAACTCAAACCGGATGTCATTCAACTCCCTCTTGGCATTCCTACAACAACCATCACCATCACCCCACAATTCCCTGTAATCTGGGACATGTACCAAGCAAAATAGAATGAAAGAAAGGGCTACCTCATGCGCAGGACAAGACTGACGGGATGAGGAGATATAGGGATAGAGGCAGAAAGTGGAGGAGGTGCAGCCAGATCCCCCTTTGAACTATTATCTTGAACTTGGTGTTCCACAGATCCACCAGGCACTTCAGGATGAGATCTCTCCTTTTCTTGCTTCTCCTTTATGAATATAAATTTTCATAATAGGTGCATATACTTCATCATAAGTATGGAGTTAAATTCAATTAATCTTCCTACCTTCATGCTTAACAGGTTGACTGCCATGAGGCACACTGGTGCACCTCACTGAATGGGAAAATCAATAGGCCAGCATTGCCATGGCGGTCAACGTGTTAAGGGAATGCACAAAACTTTGGAAATGGACAAATCTATCCAATGTGCACATGCCAGAATCCCAATAAAAATAAGGATAATAAGATCTTGATTTTCCTTTATCCAGAGTGATTCATAATCAATTTCAACAATAACCAAAGGGATGTAGTCCTACTTAAGTGCTTCAGCACCTTATTACACAGGAAGGCAGCTTTTGTTAGATAACATTTACCCTTTCACAGTTGCATTTTTTTGAGTCAGTGTGCTCACCCAGTGTGCGTACGTGTGTGTGTTTTGACAGAATGACAGTTAGCATTTATGTGATTTTTATGCATTTATCTGTTGAATTATTCTTGGAAATATGTCCGTATCAATTTAAAAGAGATTAAAATACAAAATCTTTATGCTTAAAATCTCAACAATGCATATTCTGCCAGACCCACATAGGGTGAAACTGATATTTCAATGCATGCCTGTGAATGGGTTAGTCATAGATGATGCAATGGCTTTCATATAAAACTTCAGGGGGGGCTTATTTTTCCAAAGTCCATGGACTTGGATTAGTCTATGGGAAAAGTTTATTGAGCAAGGGGGGAAAAGGTGAAGGAAGATAACACAAAGGGAGGTGATAGGAACTAACTTAGAGCAAGTAGGGGCAGTGGGAAGAGGGAAAACAAACTGGATCTCCCCCCTTGACATGGCCTTGCCCCTAGACATATCAGCAGCTCCAGATAGTTGTTGTGTACGATTATTTCTCGGGCACTTGAGTAATAACAGTAATATTTAGCTCTTTTTCTGAAGGGGCAGAGGGTGGTCCCTGGGCATGCCCAGGAAAGTGCCTGAGCATTGACAAGGTCCTACAGCACCTTTAAAGTGCTAAGTGCCACAGTAACTTTTAGGGACTTTGAACACCAGTATCAGCAGACCTAGTCTATTGCAGCTGTTAAATATTGGAATCAGGAGTTTTGCAAATCTTAATAATGATAGCCAAACAGGAGGAGAGGGACAGATTTGAATAACAACTGATGAAAGAGAATATTGACATGAATGACTTAAATGTATGGATGATACTATATAGCATGGAAAAAAAACTAAATAAAATTGATTAAAAGTTGAAATATTTGATTATCAGTTTTTTTTTTCTGAGTATTAAATGAAGTAATCATGAAACACCATATAATTACACCATGATCATGTGGTACAGCCACATAGACCCCCTTCATGAACAAAGACAAATTGCTTTTAACAAGAATAAGTAAGAATTAGTCAGAAATCGTAGCAGAAAAGCTCACATCCTCGGTTCCAGAATCATTTTCTTCATCAGAGGACCATACCCATCCAGCATCTGTCCTGTGCAATCGCCCTGATGTTCCTGGTTGTCTCTTCTGACTCTTCACCTAACATAGAGCATATTGGAGGGAGGAAAAGGAGTGAAATGTGAGATAAGAGTGATGGATGAATCTGCATTGCAATTTTCTTTGATATGTTTTCATAATAAATGCATACATTCCTTGGTAGAACGTGTAGTAATAGTCACTCAATATTTCACTTGGGCATGAGTTTGAATTTCACCAACTGTCAGTGAAGCATGACTCAACATGATCATATTTCTCATATAGGCTGCATGTTGCAAAGTGACCACTGCCTCTTCCCTGACTGAACACCCACTTCATACAATTAAAAGTTTGTACTTATAACTCTGATGGTTCTGCCCTCCCTCACCCTAACAGAAGTCTGACTGAGTGTTTTAAAGATCTGACAGTTATATGCACTTCTGACTAATACAGGAATGAGGTTCCAATCCTGGTGGTGATTCTATCCCAGGAGTTACAGGCCCTCATGTGGAAAGAAAACAGGACTCCAAGTGGTACTTCAAGGAGACATGTGATCTCCTGATTGATGAAAGGATGAAACATTGGAAGGGAGTACACATTTACTGTGTACAATATGCTCTCTAATTAGCCTGAAAAGACACTTATTGCTTGTCTATTTCAGTGGTGACAAAACAAAAAACACAAGCAGGATTGGTGGATTGGCAATTGGATATTGGGTGATATCTGATTGGTATCAATGCATTCATACATCAAATTCTTATGGGTGTGACAGTATTCATCTAGACTCTCATTCTTATGAAAGGCTGGAATATGCTCAGGTCAAGGCATCCACTGTTATCTCCAATTGGAAAAACACACTCAGGAATTTTTATGAACCATTATGAAATCAAATATGAGTACACATTGATTTCCCCAAAAAACAATAGCAGAACTTCCAATGCATCAATCTCCAAGCAGAACTACCTGCAATAAGAATAATGTATTAGGCAGTGGACATGAACAAGGACATGACACTGACCTTTGTGACACGTTCTTCAAGAGTAGGGCCATTAAGAATAAGAACTTGCTGAAGGTATTTCTTGTCCTTTGCCTTCTTCATCAGAGGATGTCTCAAGAGCTCTGTAGCAGTTGGCCTGGAAATAGGGAAAAGGAAGCCCTCAGTTTATCAAGCATTATGAAATGTCACTCGTGATTCTGGGAAGCTAGGAGAGAAACAAGCATGAGTCAAGATCATAGACAAAACACTTAGCAGCAAAAACAGGTAGTACATGAAGGCCAAAACTCTTGGTTCAGGCAAAGAGAAGAAATATTACTTTCTTTATTAGAAGAAATTTTATTTAAAAAAATTGACCTCAAACAGAAATTCACAAAGAACAAACTTCATCAACAAATTTTTGGTCATCTTGAACCATGTCTTTGCATATTTTATCTTATTTCCTGGTCTACATGCCAGATTTTTCTAATCTTTGCAATAAGCCCAGGTGCAGGTCATACTAAGAAATTACATATCCCCATCTAGAAAGAGTAAAGCCATCTATGTTTAGACACTATGACTTAGACTGTAACCAAATAAAGCATTCACAAGGTTGCTCTTAATAGCAGTTCTTCCTGGAATGATTTCTAAACATTGGGCCAAAGTAAAAGCTATATTATGATAAATTCAAGAAAACATATGGACACCCCCACAGTAGGGGTTCCATTGAGAAGTCATAATGCAGTACTGGACCAACAAATCAGTTCCACTACCACTAGACTTCTCCAAGCCTAACTTTTGATATTGATAAAAGATGTGATGAAAAGTAAGGCATTGTGGTATACTGGTATTTTCATCATACCGTGATATTTGGTTCTTGTGATAATCATACCACCCCTTCTACATTTTTCAGCAATATTGCCACAAAATGAAAACCATGAAATACTTTCCATGTTCATACCATCACCACAATACGAAAACTGTAGGATACCACCTCTCATCATATGTCACCATAGTATGAAAACCGTAGGACACCGCCTTTAATCATACAGACACCATGGCAGCATACCAAGAACCATGTCTAAAAATAAAATACTTTGTCAACAATGCTCCCCATCTCCATCCACGGTAAAGTGGGCATGACCACATTAGAAAAACTGAAGCCTTCCTGGAAGTTACTGGAGCATATTTAATCTGGACTCAAGGACCAAGATCCATAGTTTGTGGGTACACTTGCATCTTGACTGTGCCCTCCAGTGAAAGAAAAATATATATTTTTCTGGCGAACCTGAGGTGACAAATAGGAATTTTCTGGGAAGGATATGCAAGCGGACGAAGTGGGGGGGGGGGGGGGGGGGGGGGGGGGG